TACTACTCTTACTAATTCTCTTTATTCTTTTTACTAGCTTACTATATATTACCCTTAAGATAGTACTAGGCCTAATAATAGTTAGGTTTATAAATAATACTAACCTACTTAGTATTAGACTAAATATAGATATAGTAATCTTATAGCTAGAATAGGGATAGGAGATATATAGGGAGTAGTTAAAGGTTAATAACTTATAGTTCTTTATACTAAAGTTTAGTTTTATACACTTCTAGTATAGTTAAAGCCTAGACTTAGGCCTAATCTAGCTTAATAATATAATAGTTTATTTAAAATAGGAAACCTAACTCCTTAGAGTCTAGCTAATACTAGGCCTAGGGTAGAAGAAATAACTCTAAGTAGTTAAGAACTAAGTAGTAAGAGTAATCTAAGCCTTAAGTATAACTATTAGGAAAGCCTAGAGGCCTAAGAGTAAGAATATATAAGAGCTATACCTCTAGGGCGTTAGGCCTATTATAACGTTTAGTCTAGCTAGTTAGTATATACTAAGGAAGGATAAGGCAGTAGGCCTAGCCTAGACCCTATATAATCTCTAAGCGTAATACTTATAACTAGTTATAAGGGCGTTTAAAGCTACCCTAACTTACTATATTAAAGAAGCTTTAAAAGTCCCTCTAATTAACCTTTACTTAATAACTAGAAAGTACTAGATACTAATAAGGTAGGAGGTAAGTAGGGTAATAGCCTAGCTCTAGCATATATCTACCTAGGTAGCTAGAGTAGTCCTAGTAATAGTAAAAAGGCTAAGGCAATAGTAGTAATATAGGTAGTAATAACTATAATAATAGATAAGACTACTATTAGCTAACCTATATAAAGGCCTCCTAGGTAAGTCTAAAGAGGCCTTAAAGTAAGACTAGAAGATACTTAATAAGTAGTTATAAGATAGATTAGTAGTAAGGTAGGAGGTAGATAAGTTAGCTAAATAATACTATACTAAATAGGTTATAATCTACCTTACCTATAAGCTACTATAGCTCTAGTACCCTACCTAGGTAGTTTTATTCCTATTTATACCTAAGTATATTAGTTTTATTATTATATAAATATATATAAAGAAGATTAGGCTTAATACCTTCCTTTATAAATAATATATTCTTAGTTATAAGTTAGGCCTATACTATTATAAGGAAGGGCTAGAAGATATTTACTATATCCTACTAAGTTATATAGTATACTAGACTAAGCCTAGGCTACTAAAGAGGTAACTTTAAGATAGGTAGGATATACTATTAGTATTAAACTACCTAAAGAATTTAGTAATTATTACTAAGTAGTTATACTTATAAGGTTAACTAATATATATCTAAACCTTATTTAGGTTAGTACTAAACTAGGGTTAGGTTAGGTATAGTATAGTAGTAATATAGGTATATAGTAAGATAGGAATAGACTAGGTATATACTAGTACTAGGCTAGTATAGGTATAAAAAGTAATTAACTTTTAATTTTAAAATTTAGTAAATTAGGCTATTAGCTTACTCCTACCCTAGTATAGTCTAAACCTAGTGCTAGCCTAACTTTACCCCTTTTCCTAAGTATAAAATAGAAGATTTAAAAAATAAGTATAGCCTAGGCTAGGCCTAGTGCTACCCTAACTTTACTACTTCTAGTAGGCTAAAAAATATATAGAAAACTAAAAATAATTTTAAATAGGTATAGCCTAGGCTAGGCCTAGTACTACCTCTCCTTACCTCCTCCTTCTCCTACTCCTCCTCCTCCTCCTTACCCTCCTCCCCCTTAGTTAAGGTAGCTAAGTCTAGGCCCTTATCTAGCCTAGGCTTAGGCATAGTTACCCCCTAGGCCTTTAAGGCGGCTATAGCAACTTAGAGTAGGCTAGCTAAGGTATACTACTACTAGGCTAGCTAGTAAGCTACCTTAGCTTTAGCCTAGTCTAGATATATTAATACCTTAGTATTAATATAAATAGCTATAGCTAAGGCTAAGTTATAACTAGTAAGGGCTAGTATAACTATAATCTAGGCTAGACTAGCTATACCCTAAATATAGTAGGTATTACCCTTAGTATTTATACTATTAGCCTAGTTATAGGCATAGTAGATAGCTACTATTAGGTAGCTAAACTTAGTATTACCTAGGCCTAGGGCTAGGCTATCCTTAGTATAAGCTAGGAGCTAATCCTAGGTAGTAGTGGCTATAGGCTTAATACTATTAATAGGCTATTAATAGGTTAACTAGGATTAGACCTAGTTAGGCTTTAAACTAGAATTAAAGAGACTTACTAGTATATAAACTTTATTATTTTTTATATACTTAATATATATAGATATATTAGGATCTAGGACTAGATTAGGATAAAGGCTACCCTAGTATAGTACTAGGATACTTACTAGCCTACTTAAAGTAGGTAATAGTGCTAGTATTACCTATATACTTAAGGTACTAGCTATAAGGGACTAGTACTAGCTTACCTATAGTAATAACCTAGTATAGGTACTTAATAGGGTAGTAAAAAGGTAAAGAGGGTAGCTAGCTAGATTAATACTAGAATAGGGGTAGATAATAAATAGGTAAAGGTTACTTATATTATTAGTAATAGTAGTAGTAGTATTAGACTAATAAGGTTAGGGATAAGATAGGGCTAGGTATATATTAAAGATAAGGCAACTTACTATAGTAGTAATAGTAGTAATAGTTAAAATTTTTTATTTTTCTAGGAAGTATTAGTAATATTAGGATAGGGCTAGGGGTAGCCTAGGTATAGCTTAGGGAGGCATATAAGGATAAAAAGGAGGGGAGTATATAAGTATAGTAATAGTAGTAGTAAGAAACTAGTAAAGAGGAGAGTTAGTATAGTTTAGTAGCTAAAGTAGGAAAGGCTTAGCCTAGGTAGGGGTAAAGGTAATAGTAAGGTATAGTATATATACTAAAGGTAGGGGAGATATATAATTATATATTATTAAAAAAGAAAGGAAAAGAGTAAGAATTAAGGAATTTAAGGCTTTTTAAATATTATAGTAAATAGGCTAGCTAGCTAGGTAGTAGGCTAAAAATAATAATAATTAAATATATATAGCTATAGCTCCTTCCCTACCTAATATAGTAAATATAATAAACTATATAAGGGCTAATATTAATCTAAAGGCTCTAGAGGGGTATAGGGATATAAATAGAGTAATTATAAGGTAAAAAGTAGAGATAGGTATAAAAGTATATAGAAGTAGGAGAGTAGTAAGGCTATCCTAACTAGTTCTAGTATAGGTAAGGCCCTATAGGGGGTAAGGTTCCTACCTATTTAGTATAGATAATATAGAAAATAGACTATAGAAGCTAAAGAAAAGAATAATAGGGGTAGGTATTATAGCCTTTATAGCTATTACTATGCCTACTTATACTTTAAAGTATCTAGGGATTAGGATTTAGGAGGGACCTTAACTATATATAGTACCTAGCTTAGGCTAGGATAGGGCTATAGGGGGAGAAGGTTAAGGGGGTTAAGTAGGGGATAGGTAGGTCTATTAGCCTACTAAGTTTTATGTATTTATGCCTATTATTATTATCTTTTACTAAGATAAGGAGTACACTACTCCCTACTAGGAATTACTCTAGAATTATGCTAAACCTATACTAGAGCTAGGGTTTTTCCTCTAGGTACTCTAGTTTTTTCCCTATCTTATAAGCTATAAAGGTACTAGATAGACTAGCTAGTCTAATTAGGGTAATATAATAATAATATAATAAAATATATATTAAAAAGAGGAAGGTTAAAGTAATTAATTTTATAAGTATAATTATATATTTATATATTTAAAAAAAACTATAGAACTTTAAGACTAATATATAAAATAATAAATAAACTATTTATTTAGCTTTTTTAATTAATTCTAACTTTATAAATATATTTTTTAAACCTTTAAAAATAATTATAAAGCTATTAAATTAAAATATAGCTAATAAGCTTTACCTTTTTATAATAATTAAAAAGATTATTAATATTTATTAGTATAGTCTTTATAATAAAAATATACTTTCTTTTTATTAATAGATTAATAATATTTAATATAAAGATATTAAAATTAAAAAGAAAAATAATTTCCTTTTTATATTTTATAATATCCTTAATCTAGTATAAAAAGTATACTTTAATATCTTTTAATAGGTAATTATATTAATAATTAATATTAATCTTAATATACTTAATTATTTATTAATTTAGATAATATTTATATAATATATTAACCTTAAAAAAGTATTTATAGCTTTATAATTAAGATTCCCTCTTTTTACCCTTTTATAAGGTTATTAATAGTATTTAATAATAAATATATTATTTTTTTTATTATATTATAATATTTATATTAATAATTATAAAATAACTTTTATTTTTAATTATATTTTTAATTATATTATTAATATTTTTAAAAGTATAATATATTATTTTATAAAGAATATTTATATTAAATTTAATAATAATAGCTTTAATTTTAATTATATAATATAAGAATTAAGTTAGTAAATAGTAGTATAGGTAGTAGGTAATAAGGGCTAGATAGTATTTATTACCTTACTATATAAATTACTATAGAAAAGCTAGCTTTAGTGTCTAGGTATTATACTAGCTACCCTAATAGTTATTAGCTACTTAAAAATTTAGTAATTATCTATTTAGGTTTAGCAAATATTTTAGGCCGCAAGAGAAGAGATTGGCGGTAAGGGAATCGTGGTTGGCAACATGAAGTACGGATAAACCGACGCCTTTTTTTTTTCGGCACGACGTTATTCATCCTGAAACCTGCATTGAAGTCCTTCTGCGCATCCAACTAGCCTGGTGACATCGCCAACCGCCAAAGCTGACTATCCTCCATCAAAGCTGGGAAAAGACGACAATCCTGGCCCCGAGTGATCGGCATTCAGCCGTTTAAATGGCATCCCCTCACACCAAGGCATGCTAGTTACTCGGCGCCCCTTGCACTGGCGCGTCTTCGAGAAGTCTGTTCTCCCGTGTCCCGCCATCGAGCTTAGGCTAGGGTCGCATCGCCCATCCATTCTCCCAAAGCATTGACCGAAAGCTGTCGCACGCGCTCGATTCTGTCCGCGTCGTTCGAGACCCCCCATTCAAAGGTCCCGTTCTTTGGCGGAGTTGGCCGGGTTCGCCCTATCATCAACGCCAGACCGACCGTGTGCCCAGTCCGTCAGCACCAACTCCACACGGCGCACTACGCTTGTGCCGAATCGCCGGCCCTCGCTGGGTGGCGGATCTTGACGACCTGCTAAAAAGGGAAGTGTCCACTGCTGACCATGATGCGCATCTAGGAGCTGGAGCTCGCTTAACTCGGCACTTGGTGTTGTGCGTCGTATCGGTAGCGAGCCACATGCTTTTTCAGATTCATCTCCGGCCGGTGCAGCCAGAGTTCTGTTGCTAGAGGTGTCCGCTTCTTATAAATAGGACCTGTCCATCAAGGTTGAACCCTTCTCGACGTTGTTGTCTTGAGATTTTGCCAAGACGCCATCTCGATCTGCGGACCCCGATACAGCCACTTTATCTGAGTCGTTGCGCAACTCATCGTCAACTCTCCACACCACCCACCATGGTCTCTTTCTACCGGACCGCCGTCATTGCGGCCACTGCCTTTCAGGGCGCTAAGGCTTGGGGTGTTTTGGGCCACGCCACCGTCGCGTACATTGCCCAACACTACCTGACCAACGACACTGCGGTTTGGTGAGTTTAGTCTGGAGACGACCTTGACGCTTATACGAAGAGAGGAATCAGCTACTTATACCTTCTCTTACAGGGCCCAAGGTGTTCTTGGAGACACGTCTGACTCGTACCTTGCCAATATTGCCTCGTGGGCCGACCAATACCGCGCCACAACGGCTGGCAAGTGGTCGGCCCCGCTGCACTTCATCGACGCCGAGGACAACCCGCCCTCGTCGTGCAGCGTCGACTATCAACGCGACTGTGGCAGCAAGGGCTGCTCCGTCTCCGCCATTGCCAACTACACGCAGCGCGTCAGCGACGGCCGCCTGAGCGCGCCCCATGTCACCGAGGCGCTCAAGTTCCTCGTGCATTTCCTCGGTGACGTCACCCAGCCACTGCACGACGAGGCGTACGAGGTCGGCGGCAATGACATCAAGGTCACCTTTGACGGGTACTCGGACAACCTGCACGCCGACTGGGACACGTACATTCCGCAGAAAAAGGTCGGCGGCAGCAAGTTGACGGACGCGCAGTCGTGGGCGGGCGCGCTCGTCGCCGAGATTGACTCGGGCGACTTGAAGGCGCAGGCGGCGGGCTGGATCGCGGGTGACAGCGTCGCGGATCCGATTACTTCGGCCACGCGCTGGGCGTCCGACGCCAACGCGTACGTGTGCTCGGTCGTCATGCCCAGCGGCGCCGCGGCGCTTCAGCAGGGCGACTTGTACCCGGACTACTACAACTCGGTCATTGGCACGGTCGAGCTGCAGATTGCCAAGGGCGGCTACCGCCTCGGAAACTGGCTGAATACCATTTACAGCAGCAAGATTGCGAAGCGCAGCGTCGATGATGCTTCCCTGCCTGACTTGTCCGGGCGCGATCTGTTGCCCGCTGACCGCCCGATGAGCCGCGCGAAGCTAGCCAGAGAGGCCATGGGCGAGACTTGCTGCACTCACAATCACTGAAACTAAACTAAATTTGTGTATATTCCTTACTGTGGAGTGAAAAAATGTTGGAATTGGGAGGGGGGGTGTATTGAATTGAGCTTTGACCGCTGCATCATCTTCTCCAGGCAGTTAATTCGCCTTTTGCAAACACCGCCACAGTAAGTGTCAGTTTTTCCAGGCGATTAATCATCCCCTTACAAACACTGTCGTGAGTGTCGTCTTCTATGAGCAGTGAATTATCCCTTTGAAAACGGCGCAGTCAGTGTCATTTATTTCCTTTTAACCTTTCCGTCCCCATCTTCCTTATTCAAATTGCTTCACATTTCGTCCCTCGACACACTTCGACAACATGTCGCGAACCGCTGCCGATGGTGCTGGTCGCGCATGCACAGTCCCGGTGGTCGCGCAGATTAAGCTTTTGGAAGAATATTCCGACACGGTCTTTTCCTGTCAAGGGACGCTCTTCAAAGTGCACAAAGCCGTCGTCTGCTCTCAATCCCCCGTGATCCAGGCCGCCATGCGGTCTGGCTTTCAGGTAAACGCAGCCCGGCGTCAACCCCTACATTCTTAGCAAGCAAGCTGACAATGGCTCGCCCAGGAGTCCGGAAATAATACGTTGAACATGGACACGTTTACGCCCGCCTTAGTGAAACATTTCATTCAGTTTCTTTACTCTAAAGACTACGACGACGTCTATATTCCCGACAAAGACGAGCCCCAGGCCGACAAGAAGATAGCGGACCAAGTCGCAGAGCCCAATGGCGAATCGGAGTTTTCCGAATGGTTAGTTAGTTCGGCTAGATCTCCCTCCCTAGGCGGAAAAAGCCAACAGCCCGAGGTCCACGATCCGGTATACCAGACTATCCTGGTCCATACCCGTATGAACGCCATGGCAGACTACTACGACGTCCCCGAACTCGCCACCATCGCCAACATGCGCATCAGTGCCATCTTGGCGGACGCGTCGCCCCACAAGCCGTGGATCATCGGCCTTCCCGCCATTGCTGAGGTCGCGCTCGACATCGTACACAACCACGGCCTGTCCGACATCCTTGCGACCGCCATTGTCGAGCATATCGACACCATTCTCGCCATGGGCACGCTCGATACCTCACCCCTGATGACGCCGTTTGGCTTGGAGCTGCTGAAAAAGTGCAACGCCGTTAATCAGGTCATATCGAAATCACCGTTAACCAAGTCATATCGAACATCCAAGCACCCGGGGCGGAAACAAGTCTTGGACCGCTGCCAAATATGCAGTGGGCGATTCAATTGCACCATTGAAGCGGTTATTGGCGAACTGGTGGTGCATTGCGACCATTGTGGTCGATACTAAGAACGACAGGAACGGCGTATTAGCTAAAGAATGAATTTTATACCGTTCCTGGGCGACTACAGTAGAAAAATGACTCGTGGGCTAGCTACTACTTTGACTGAAAATGTAATCAGTTTAGATCTTTCTCTCATTCACTCTTTCACTCTTTCGTTAATAATAAATAAACTAGTCAAGACATCCCCACCAACGTTCCATGCGCACTGTAAAATGACACGGCCTCGGCCTCGCGAAACGGGCGGTCGTCTCTGCTCTCCAGCCTCTCAAATGTCTGCAGCAGCCGCAGCAACACGTACGAGATCTCCG